CATTGGGGAGGGGTGGGTGGAAAAAGACACTTCATAGATCGTACATTCTGAAGGAGGCAGCGGTGTAGAGTTCTTCGAAGCCATTTCAAGGCAGGAAGGGATCATTTTCATGGAAACGACCTCTGTAGTTTTGATACACACACATATGAGTTTTGAAGGCTTTAATCTCTGCCCAGAGATGTTTGCTGCTTCAGAACAGCCTGAATAGCATAAAACACTGATATGACCAGTTATGTGCTTGTTTGTTTATTGAAGCAAGTTATAAGATCAAAACATACTATGTTAATGAAGCTACAGCAAGGAGATGTTTGTCTTAGCTCACAGAAGAAGCTGGAGGTATGATGCTGTTTTATTGTTCATCCATTTGTCCATCCATCCCATTTATTGTGAACACCATATTTTGGGAACGCACTTGAGGAATTTCTTCAAATTTGGTGGAAATATTCACTTGGAATAAAGAATGAACTGAGGTCAAAGGTCACAACTGAGGAATTAATATGCTAATTAAGACGGCATTTCACATCAATGTCAAATACTTTGATAATACTATTACAACGTGACGACTTTTTTTTTTAATCCAAAAGGTCAAAGGTTAAATTCAATGCTCACAGACGGGCAGATTGTTTAATAACTGGTCAGATACCGTATGGTGACACTAACCTTTTATGCTCACCTTGAAACTGTGGTGATTGGATATTCTCTCTGTCTTCTCTGCTGTTGGATTGAATGTGTGGGTGAAGCTTCCACATATTCGAATCAGAATCAGCTTTATCAGCCAGTCATGTAAACACAAGCAACAAACTTTTTTTTTAGTTGTTTTTCTAAATTAACTTACACACCTCAGACTGTATGTATCATATAAGACTGGACAGACATGAATGTAAACTGCAGCTCGACTGGCTGGCAGAGGCAAACAACCGCAAGGTGGTAATTTTATTTTTTTTGTGAAATAGTCCTTGACTTATGAGCACAGCCTTTCCTGAAGTGCACAGCATCCGTCTGTACTGTGCAGACAGATTTAAGTTGGTTGTCTGGTGGGATGATCTATCGAGCGTGTCTTGTTTGTCTGTGTGTTTGTCCATTCATCTCTCATAAGGTATTTCTGGTCATACCGCCAGTCTGACACCTGCAGAGACCATACATCTTCCACTGTGATCTAAACTTTGATTTTTTTTTTTTTTTTTTAAACACACCAATTTGATTCCTGAAGATCAAAATATATAACTCAAACACGTCTCAGATATCATTGTCAAATTTGGGAAAACTTTGACGAATGATCCTTGGCACTGTTTTCTAGAGTCTAAAAATATTACTTCACTGGCCGGAGGGGGACACCAGGATTAAAAGGTTGGCTTGTCAAACTGTGAAAGGCTTTACAACATCGGGCTCATTTTTAGTGGAAGAAATGCCACTCTGCATCGGTGCTACCTAAATAACAGGTTTCTCTTCCGTCTACTTACCCTGTTCATTCCTTTTAGAGGTCACTGCATAGCATCGAAAACTAAATGTTTGCTAACTCATGCAATACTGCACAGAAGATGCTTTCAGTTTTGGCTTTAAAGTGAGATTCCATGTCTCAAACACACACACACACACATATACAAGTGTAACGCAACCCGTCACCAGTATCTCTGAGTCAGGCTTGGCTACCAAACACCAGAATGCATGCAGCGCTGTTGCAGGGCAGGGTAGGACAGGAGCGAATCCAAAGTGCATGGCAAGTTGGCAGACACTTCAAACGCTCTGCCCTGAACCGTGATACTCAATGTTGCATGATACTTGTTGGGGTAAACGGAGGGAACACTGCAGGGAGCGTAATGATAACACTCATCAGCACACCCAATATGGCGGCTGACAAGTTTTAAAAAATTTGAATAAATAAAACCGTGCAGGAAATTATTTGAAGTATTTGTACCGGGGGAAGGAGGATGTAGGTTTCTCTCATCTAAGTGGAAAAGGATAATCTTTTTTAATTAATGTAGTTTTTACATCAACATCTCACACTGAATAATTTATACCGTGTGAGTTGGCTTTTTTTTTTTTTTTTTGAATCACTGTCAGTTTGTTACAATCAGCCAAAACAGGGCTGAAGTTGTTTCAATATTTTGTTGGGATTTAGATGTAAATGCTAATAAAAAGTTTTTATTTTTTAATGAATTGGATTTAGGGTTAGAAAACACCCAGCAGTGGAAAGGCAGTGACGCTAAATCAACCCAAGCCAACAATAAACAGAACCAAAGTTCTGCTCTGTTCTGTTTAAGCTACTTATATACAAGACCAGAGGGAAAAAAATGGTACATTTGACACTATATCCATGCTTACATCTCTGCTTTAAGGAATGGATTTGCAGCAGATTATATGGAATTAATTAAAACATTTCTCAACAGTTAATTAAAGTCTAGAAAGGAGAGTCCACAGGAGCATAACCTGCCTCATATATATGATCGCATATGGCCTCAAACCAGCTGATCATAGCAGGTCAGGCCATGAGGCATGTGCTCAAAACTTATCTTCTACTGTAAACTTCCCTATATTCGAAATCAAACCTCCTCTCACGTGTTATGGACCTAAATTTAAAGTTATCGTCCACTTCTCCCACAATAATGTAGCCCCTAAATTAATAAATCGTCATTAATCAGTTTGAAGGCAAAACATGAAATTTCATCGTCTCCGAGGCAGAAGAGCAAATGAGAATAAATGAGAAACCTCCAGGCAGCGGTAGAGCTTCTGTTTTGGTTCAGGGAGAAACCAGTGAAAGTTTGCATTCGTTATGCTATTATACCAAATTAGTGGGACAGAACAACCTGACAGCCTGCCTTCGTACGGTTTCAGTCGCTGTCATTTTTTTTTTTTTTGCTCCAACAAGAATATTATTTTAAGTCCTTTGAGCAGGAGTGCAGCTCCTTTCTATTCAAACTCGGCGTGTCAGGTGCGGTGCCCTCATCCACCTGGAGTGTTCTTTTCCCTGTCCAAACACCCCATAACAACACCATTAAATTCAGATTTTGTCCGTCTCAGGAGTGCCAAGGGGAAACGACCTTGCCCACACCAAGACATATGCTTTTAGCCGACTCTCGTTCTGTAATGAGGGGGAGTTGGCAGGACGATCAAAGGCTTTCCACTGAACCCTGATACTAAATGTTGCTGATGATCTGTCCGAGGGGAGAGCTAACTGATCATACCAAACAAGTGGAGAGGTCAAGCAGGTCTCGAAGTGAGGCTGTGAAAAACTGCCTTGAATGAGAATGTGTCTGCCCCGTGCACACGGCTAGTGTAAACACTGAAAGGTGGTAAAGGAAATGAAGGCAATGGGGGGAAAAAAACCATCAGTTTGATAGTTCCGTGTGATATAGCTGTGGTGTGACGGCTTCACGCAAGGCCTATGGTGTATGTAGACGCCCGCTTGGCTCTGAATGGCAGGAGAAAAAGAAGACCTCCTAGCCTGAAATAACAGCACGGAGGTGAAATGGAAGAGTCTTGAGCATATGTTAACTGTGGGTTTGCTCTTTGTCATTTCTCCCTTCAGCTCCATCCAGCTCTTTTATTCTCTCCAATGTTTCCTGTCACTGCCGCCGATAGAGTCCGTAAGATGAAAATGTAAATATCAAGAGTTACGCGGGGAAACGCCAAAGCAAAGCTTTTCTACCCTGAGCGGAGTGAAATCAATCCGGCTGAAATGGAAATGAGGCACGACGAGAGAATGAACAGCAGGAGTGCCAGAGGTGGGCGACAAAAGGCGCAGAGCGGGAATTAAGGAGAAGGGTTGGGGCTGTTGGGGATTCAAAAACATGTTTCAACCTGTTGAAACTGCTTTGTCAGCAAACTGGCCTGAATCCAATATCCACCCCCCCTTCCTCACATGTCCTCTTTCTCTCTCCTTTCCTCCCTTCCCCCACAAAGGAAAATGTTAATAAACTGGCGATTGCCGATCGAATCAAACCCGTCCAAAGAGCACAGAACAATAAAGCTAATCTGTCTGTCCCTGGCACAATCCTAACAAGAGCGGCGGAACGTGACTGGCGTTTCAGAGCGGGGTCGCTATCTATTAAGCCACCGCACACCTCGGCTAAGGACACTTCAGAATGAAACATGGGGGGAAATGGATAAATTAGCTTCTCTCCTGGTTTCGCTGGGGGAGGAGAGGTTGATTTATATCCGCCTGTGTTATTCTTCACAGAAGTCATTATCACCCCTTCGTGATTGATGCTTATCTTTTTATCATCACAGCGAAATTGCCAATTTGTACTCTCTGCAAGGAAGAGGTTTTAATATTGCAAAACTGACACAGATAGTGTACAATCAAACACAATGGCACAGTCGGCGCTTTCATGCTGAAAATCTCACCTTCCTTTGTGCCGGTCGGCCTTCCCTGTCTGTCTGTGAAAAGACGAGGGGGGGGGGGGGTTCTGATATGCTGGTAGACGCTCACAAACAAAGACTCTGCTATCACCTCTGTGTTGACGCCACAAGGTCCTGAGTTGTCAAAAGTATCTGACCTCCATCTCTGCCAGATTACAGAGCAGAACAAAGAATTGCAGGGGAGAAGAAGTAAAAAGTGGATATAGATCAAATGCGTGTTCAAACAAACTCGGCTGGCGTCGAGCTGGGCATACAATAAAGAACAATGTCGCCTAGGCAACACCGGCACCCTCCCAGTCTATCTCCGGGCGAATATTCCCTCATGTTCCCCGTCAACCTGTTGACGTGATAAAATTATACTTTACGGAACATCGAGCAGCATGACGTGTGATCAATGAGCTTTAGGTACAGTAACAATGACAGTTGGAGCGCGACAAAGCCAATGGAATAAGCTCCGCTGCAGGAACATTTCTTGGCAAACCACCTGCTTCACCTCATGTTACTCTCATTGTTAGTTTTCTTGCGGGTTAAGAGCTTCCCGAGCAGCACCTGGTTCTGACACCAATCGGCCCGCCGCATCTAGACTGTGATTTAAAAACCAAAACCATAAAGTAAGAAAAGGGCACAAGTACAAACACTACTTGACTTTTTCATCAACTTGGTTTTATGGCTGTATTGTATATTTCTTGCGCAGGGAAAGAGAATAAAACATGATGGAGGGTCAAAGCAGAGTGCTTCAGTACATTTTTATGGCACTGCTGACAGGAGGATAAAAAAAAAAGGATAACTTTTTTTAAATGTGTGCATTGTACAAAATATGATCAATGCTGGCAAATAGATAAAAATATAGTGTTGAAGTACATATATCTTTCAGTGTTATAGTTTTAATAAAAGATCAAATATAGTAAAATACACTGTCGTGAAAATAAAAAGAAACATTTCATTTCTGAAACCTGTTTTTTAAATATTTTGCCACTTTAAAGAAAAGTGTTTTATAACCTGTTATACAAAATAGCAGTTTTTTTTTTAATATTTATAGCCTCAGATTAAATTCTTAGTCCATACATAACAAAGTGCACGACTCCACTTTCCGTTTGCCTGTCAGGCCCTCAGCAGAGCCTCTACAGAGAAAGGTAATGGCCTCACAGCGGGAGTCCTGGCTGAGCTGCCATGAGGGCTCTTGACAGAGTCGACATGAGGACCCGCCTGTGTGGCTGGAGTGTCTGCAGTCCAGCCCTTAGCTGTCAGAGGTCTGGGATCAGAAGTCCTGCTGGGTGCGCTGATGTCTGGTTCACCCAGGAGACGCTGATCGGATCCAGAAGCAGACAATGCTGAAGAGCCATTTGAGTCCTTCCTTTCTGTTGTTTTTGAAGTGGATTTGACAGGTTCAGCACGTGATGTGGTGCTGCCATCCGTTTTGAGTCTGTGCTGTGATAGTAGAGGTATTAACTCTGCTTGGCTTTTCTTCTCCTTCCATCCATTCTGCACCTCCTCGCTGCTTTCCTCCGAGCTTCTGCATAACAAAAAGTCATTATAGCCGCCTCCTGTGGGTGACCTGCTCTTCAGGTGGAAGAACTGATAAAACTGGAAGTCGCACTCATAAAGAGGCTTGTATTTATAAACAGGCACGTAGCTCAATGCCCCTACAGCAGCGGGGTCCTTGCCGGGAGGGCAGCAGTGGAGGCCGGGGGAGATGGGCAGGGGTGGAGGCTGAAGCAGGGGGATGAGGGCGGATGAGGAGGAGGAGGAGGAGAAGGGCAGGTCGGTGTGCAGCTCCCTCTGTCTCAGCTCGCGCTCCATCATCACGTTCTCCAGCTCCTTGTCCGCGAAGGCCCGTCTCTTCCTCATCCGGGCGCTGATGGACGGGCAGGTGAAGGGCGGCTGGTCGTGCTGCTTCGACCAGCAGGAGGCGTCGTCCTCCGGAGGAACAGCAGATTTTAACCCTGAACACGGAGAGCAGAGCCACACGCTGCCGTTACCTTCATTTATTCACATAATCACTTTATGTACTAGCCAATTAATTGCTATGTTTATGTCTGAGCAATTTGTTGTTTATTATTTTCATTATGCACTTGGTTAGCTGTGTCATTTTTGCTTTAGTGAGAGCAGGGGAAGACTGAGAGGGCTATAAAGAAGACAAAGCCTCCAGTGGGATTTGACTGCAAGCCAGCAGGTATTAATACGCGTTTCGTATTACAGTAATGGCCTGTTGTTGTGAAATAGTGAAGTCACAATGATGAGGTGTGTTTAGCCAAATTAAGTGTGTCTAGCTATGTGCAATAATATCCGAGAAGGTGAAGTGAAGGTGCTGTGAGCATGAGAAGGCTCCGTCAAGGCAGCAGAAATTACAGCGAATATTTGAATATTACACAATACATATCTGTCTAGAAAGAGAAAGTACTTGTGTGAAGGTGTTGTGGGGACAAACAGGTAATGTGAGGACAGCAAGCGTATCCCCACAAGGCCAGGAATTTATTTTAGGCTCAAGTTTTGTGCTTAAGGTCAGAGCCATATATTGATGATCAAAAAAATCTGGTAAAAAAAAAAAAACAAACCCAAAATACATTTAATTTGACATGTCAGCATGCAGTGAGTGGCCACCAGCAGATGATTAATCAATCTGATTCATTTGTGATCTTGCATGAATTTTTCAGAAATGTACTAAAAGCAATAAAATAACAGTAAAAGTCGCCTTTAAGTGATCTACTCAACTACTGGAGGGGGAGAAAAAAAAAAAAAAGCACTTTTCATCACAGTCTGGGAGAAAAAGAGCTCCGTTAATGAGAAAGGAGATGTTAATTAAACTTTACCCTGCAGGATGCTTTTAGCCACGATGCTCGACTCGGCTGCTCTGGTATAACACTGATAGGCCGTTCTCCGCAACGGAGCCGCACATCTGACCCCTCTCTTACCCTGAGAGAAACATGCGAACAGGAGTTAGACATTTGGATGTAATTATGTTACACTGAGTCTGTCCCCCAAGGGTAATTAAAGGGAGTGAATGCATTATGTAAGGGCCAAGCAGAGGTCTGCGAGATTCTGAGATTTAAGCACGAGAGATGTTTGACCACTTTCACCAGAGTAATGGAGCTGCTCCATGTAAATGTGCATCATTTTCTATAGAAGAGCATCCTAATGCCCTGTTCTGTTCTGTACTGTGTTTTGTTAAACATTGTATAACACCAATAATACAAATTTATCACATATATAATACATATCAAATGTTAGAATTAAGGATTTCACATTTTCCCTTCAGTAATAACTTTAGACTGATTTCTGTTACACATCACATCACAACTGGAATGAACTGCAAAACCGAGTAAAGTTTGACATTACAGTTAGATCTTTTCATTATGTTCAAAATGTAATCAGTGTGTCAAATGTTTGCTTTGTGTTACTGCACCGTTTTGTCTATTTACTCTCATGTGCAACAGATACTCAACATAATTTGACTTTATGGAAATACAAGCATCTCAACTAACTTGTTCACTGCAGTCATTAGAAGAACAGCAAAGATATTTCAGAATTAATGAGGAAACGTTTAAATGTTCAAAACTTTGATCTAATCTGAGGGGGGAAAATAGATTATTTCGTATATACTAATGGAAAAATAAAGACAAACCATGTCCGTTATTGAGATTTAAAAGTTTTGTCTTTCTGTGGAAGTGGCATCACCCATGAGTGGATAAAAGTCCTATATGCGCAAATTAAAAACTATTTTTTCAGGACTTCTGTTAAATGTTGGCTAGAATATTTGTGTTTTTCTCTTCAGGAAAAGAATTCAGGGACATCTGTTGAAAATTATTGTATTAAAAAAAATACATTTTCATCCTCAGTGTCTTATGACATTTCCAATATTTTTTTTCTTCTTCGGTTTTCCTGCAGTAATTCCATTTTTCTCTCTGCACCATGTGTCTGTTTGCTCTTCACTAATCACCTGTGGGAAGTCATGCTTTGCCCATCTCTTATTTTCCCCGTCGGTTCACTGACCTGCCCTTGCGCTCTCCTCACCTCCGCAGCCTGCTGCCGCCGGAGCGCGACCTGCGCTGCCATGACGCGCTGCCTCTCCACCACCAGCAGGCAGCAGGCGCAGCGACAGTCCCTCCAGCGGCAGAAGCGTTTGTGGCCCTTCAAACACGAAACGACGCCGTGGTTTCGACAGCGAGCGCATTTGGGGCTCCGAGTCATCTTGCGCGCTTTCTGCTGCGGGCCTTCTGGAGACAACCGGACCGCTTCGTTCTCCCCTCCGTCCCCGGGGCGGCCGCGCTGACCCGCGCATCCGTCAGGACTTGTCACGTCAAAAACTTCTTCAGATTTTAGTACATCAAGTTTTGCTGTTGTCTCCGGCTGCAGGCCTCCTTCCAGCTGAGCGGACATCTATGACTAATGGCAGAAGAATTCCACTTTAATCCGTTGTGCGCAAAAACTGAGCCTCTACAAATAATAAAAAGGGATATTGAACACATGTAACACAACTAATTTGGCGTGACTATAGTTTTAGCCAAATATAATATAATGAAAAAAAAAATCTATATTATCAATTAAAACATCAAAAAAGTCCCAAGCAGTTTTACGCACGATGTAAACAAACACAACAATTGCAACACCGCAGCACTTTCAGCACAACAGGCAGGAGCTTCAACACATGATTCTAACTGAAACAAATCAGCTTCCATCACAAAGAAACTAAATCGGCGCATTAAGAGCGGATACCCCGGTGTAGCGAGGCTTTACGCACAACTTTTACGCAAAACTAATTCCGAGCACCAACCCATGTGGTGAGGTGTCCTGCATCAGCCTGCTGCTGCTGCTGCTGCTGCTACATGTCAGTGTTTTCAGGGTGGAAACTTTTCAGCCTACCGCCAGACGTTTGAAATGTTAAGCCTCTCTCAGCTGCTCTCTGACGCCGTTTCCAAGAAGGAGCGGATAGTAGACCGGGCCACAATGCCGAGCTCCTGGCGCGTGACCATGAGCAAAGATTTGGGGAAGCCCGTTTACAGCAAAAAGAAAAAACAAAAAAAGCAAGTCTCGCTCCCTATAAACCCCCGTACCTGCGCCGCCCCTGCCCACCTTCCAGGATGTTCTCATCTTTCAAGACGTTGGCGCATCTCTGTTCTAGGCGAAAGGTGGCAAGAAAATTTCCATTTTGTGGCACAAAAAATGTTTACCAAGAGCTGTTCGGGTGACAGCATTTGTAAACAATTTACAACAAAGGTAGCACAAATAACAATACTGCAAGTCATCCTAATAACAGGCCAAGAGTAATATTATTTAGGCTTCGGAAGAAGACCAGACTTACAAAGAGGCTGTGCGCCCTTGAGGGTGCATATGTGTGAGCTGTATGTTTTACCAGACGTGTGCTGTTCAATATGGACTAATTACGCACAGGCCTCCGGGAGAGCAGCCGAAGAGAGTGAGACTGGAAGAATGACATTTTCATAATACCTAGGAGTCATCTTCATACTCATATTTATTCATAATAGCGTTAAATAATTCACTGATTTAATGGCTCTCTTGATGTTTTTAGACTTGCTTTTTCTGAGCCTAAAACCGAATAATTAAAAAAAAAAAGGAAGCGCATAAATATTGCCATTCATTAAGTGTTGTTTAGATAGGTGTTTTAACATTGGTTTACTGACACTTTATTTATATACTCATATTTTTTTTTTTTTAAACACCATAACTTGATGTTTATACTATGTTCTGGTAGTCAGTGTTATCATCAGTACCTGCTGCTCTACTTGGTCTGCCATTTCTTGTGTAGTTTTTGCAAATTTCATCCAAGGTTGCTGCTTTCAGCTCTTCAGCAGACTCCATATATTGAAAAGAGCTGATGTTTTCTCCATGAGCACCACAGATTCTACTGAGATGATATGAAAAGTGTGCTCCCTGCTGGATGCCTTCTGTAATTACACCCAGGGTATTTATTCCAGGGATGAACCAGGAACTCATTTGTCTGATTTCCATCATTCCACAACCAAAAGGCTACACATGGAGAAGTAAGAATTCCACAGAATTGCTCTACTGTACAGTGACCATCAAGAAAAAATGATCCTGACAGGACAAACTCAGGTGGTCTTCCACTAGGGCACCTACAAGCCCAGCTCATGGCAGCTAATTGTAACCCTCCTCCACATTTTTTAAATGCTAATTTGGACTCAGTCAGCATGACTAAGCTACAAACGGCTCAGAAACTATTTGGGCTGCTGATGCTCTTAAACAGGAATGTTACAGTTCATACAACAATTGGAGCTCAAATTAAAAATGTTCTGACTATCTGGTTAGGTGACAAATCATCTATAAAACTCTTACTGAGGAAATTGCTTTAAAAATAATTAGGCTTCCTTTGCAGAAAAAAGCTTTGTTTTCTGTGGAAATTTCAGTTTTCAACATCAGTGCTCGGCTACGCACATGTACTTGACATGCATGCTACGGCTCATACATCCCCTAAAGCCACTCGATGCCGTATTTTGCAGCTCTCTTAGATTTATTACAGGTGACAGTTTCAGAACTCATCATCGTATCCTCTATGAGAAGGTAGGAAGGCCATCACTCACCACTCAAAGGGAGGAGTGCTGTCTTTTTTATTTATCCTAAATAAACTACGATGTTATCTGTCATCACTTTGAAGATTCAGAAATATGACTCACCGTATCTGTAGCTCTCAACTGCTTTTCTCCCTGAATAAATAAAGGCTATTTAGCAATCCATAAAAATGTAAAGTGTTAGACGATTAAAAAAATAATAAAATTGAATTCAATTACAGAAATTTTTTGCCTGTTTGATGAGTTCATGTTTCATATTATTGTTCATTCCCCAGATCTGCTGTGTGAAAATCAGCACCAAACCAAATTCATTCCATGTGTACATTTACAAGAAGATAAAGTAGCCGCAACTGCATCAAGAGTAGCGAAGATAAAATCTTATATGAGAATGTTTTCTGTCAAACGTGAGTTTTCTGAATAAATGTTTTCAATATTATGTATACAGGCCCATATGTATAATATCCCCGCAATGCATCTGGTTCAGGGGCTCAGATGGCAAAGAGCCAGTCACCTTTGCTCTTCATTCTACACTTAGCCAAAGCCAGAAGCGTCTTGCCAAGAGATTCTAGTGGCGATCTGAAAAAAAAGTGGTTGAAAGATTAGACATCAAAGAGGTTTGGTGGGAGCCGGAGCCAGCCGAGCCTCAAAGTACGATCGCCGAAGTGATACAACCAATTAAAAACTAATGGACATCTAGTGGAGAGTACAGAGTTGCAGTTGTGATGATCTGACACTTTGTCTTGTCAATAACCTGGCAGCAGAAGTCTGTGTAATCTGGAGCCGTGCCACGGTTTGGCAGAAAGATGTTACAGGAATCAGTCGAAAATTAATTACTCGTAGGTCTCTCGGTGTCTTTTAAAAGACATCTTGAATTAATCTAATATCTACTCTGTTCCCGAGGTGGTGGCAATCAATCTGAGCCATCTTCAACTCTTAAGAGTAGATAAAACATTATATATAGAAATTAATATGATTTTACCAGCTAGAACCTGCAATTTGTGGTTATTGAAGTACATGTACAGAATACAGATAAAACAATGGGAGGATAAATATCAGGTTCAGCCTGTGACGGTCCTTCCAGTTTTGCTGAGGGGTTCCAACGAACACTTGTCTTATCAGGTGAAAAGCAGCAGTCATGGTGACCCCATATGGATCAACAGAGACACACAAAGGAAGCAGAGGGGGGTCCTATCAAAGAAGGATGTCCTCGGGGACTGCAGTGCTCCGGGGGATTGCGGGTGTCTTCCACATCAGTTTTTTTTTTTTCCCCAAACGGAAAGAAAAGAAATGAAAAGAAAATCAATGTATATTTTTTTAATGAGCACATGGGCTCCCACAGAAAGCCTAAAGTGTTTTATTGCAATACTACATTATGATTTTGACATAGTTTTTCATGTGACGAAGAAACTAATACTTCTGAAAACAAGAAGACAGAGAAAAAGAACTGTAATGCTGAAAGTAGGCAGACAAGAGTAAAGGAGAATATGTAATGTGTGAAAGCTGTGGGGTTCCTCTAGAAATTAAAATACAGCATTTACTTTCTTGCATGACATTTACACAACCAAAGGTATAGAGCGTGCAAAATATTTGTGCAAGTCATGCTATTTACTTTTTCTATTATTGGTGCACATTTAATGGAAATCCTAAACATAAAAGGACATTTTAGTTTTTATTTCAGCAATGCAAAATAGCAAAAATATCATCATCGTGTTTGCAACAAATCAATTTAGATAAAGTTGACATATTGGAAGAAAATGTCCTTTGTCAAAGTCACACATTTTCCTCCTGTCTTTTTCATTTTTTGCAGACAACATCGTCCTGTTGGACACATGCTGTAAATTTTCTGGTGGATGAGAACGGTCCATAAATGGATGGATGGGTGAAAGGCGACGGCTGCTGGATGGATAATCGGTGGTGCATGCATGGTGTTGTACAATATGTCCATGGAAAACAGGTAAGTACCCCCTTATTAATACCATCGGCTCGGATGCTGCCTGCAGTGGAGTGCACCTATCACAGCCCCTTGACTCTCGGACAAATTGACTGTCGTCAGCAGCGACACGGTGCTCCGGCATTCTCGTCACACGTCCTCCTCCCCACACCCTCTTCGATGTCCTGCGGTTGTACTGAGGGTTGTGCTCATCCACTTCCATTTTCGTAGCAGAGATGGAGTTTGACAGACTCCTTGGCTCCCACCATTGGGCCTGCCAGCGTGTCCTCCTCTATCTGCCTCTCCCTCTCTATGACTGGCACCCTCAATCAACTCGTGAAGGAATTCAAACAAAACACCAAAGACAGACAACCTGTAAGTTACTCTCAAGGACAAGAGGGCTCCTCCAACTTTATATAACGCGCGGAAGTTTAGAGAAGGAAAGCGGAGGCGTTTGGGAGGCAAGGTGCGTTTTCAAAGAAATCCTGAGCTGAATGTCAATTCACTTCAAAGAGAGAAATAAAAGACACGGGGCTATGTTTCACGGTGCCTTTACACAAAGGCTTTAGCAGCTTTATCCACCTACTTTCAAAAAGCAGGAGACACCTCGGCAGTTATCAGCGCAAGGCAGGGGCCATTAAGCTGACAGTTTTTTCAAGGGAGGTTTAACCTGCGCCTTGGAGAGTGTTTGAGTTTGTCAAGCCTGTTAAGATGGAACAAACAGCTGCTTAAATAAATGCACTTCTAACTTCTTCACATTAGGAACAATCAAGTTCTTCTGGGGACTTTTTTTTTTTTTTTTTTTTTAATATGCTGCGCACGGCAACAACACAACAGTCTGAGAATCACAGACAGGAACTGCAACGAAAGCCTCTGATGATACTGTAAAATCGTCTAGTTTAACTTGACCCAATAAGGGTTTTATGCAGGTATTATACTCTGGCAACAGATGAAAAGGATATAATCTATGCCTCGGGCTTTAGTCTCTGTGAGAGTAGCCTGGCCTGGCTGGCAAGACTAGTATATGATTAGTTTTATTCCTTTCTTTTAAAGAGGTTAACTTGTAGTCAAGAAGCAGCATCAGTGAAAAGGATGTTGGCCAAGATGCACGTGTGAGGCTTGAAACTTCCATCAGACTCACCTTTGGTCAAGTTACAGAACATTTCCTGAGCCTTTTGGCCACTGTTCAATCTTAGACTCAGACCCGCTACACGATTAAATAATCAGATAAATGTGTCGTGGAGTTTTGTGACATTCAGTTTAGGATGTTTCCATATCTGGCATTGTAAGGCCAGACATGTCTGGAC